AACAAATAGTTTGACATCCTGGGAAAAACAGCTATTTCCTTTTAACTGGAATTAGACGAGAGGTTGAATACCTGTTCAATTTAAATCTGTTTAATCCAAAGCTCTTGTCTTCAGCCTAAAGGTCAAACTAGGTATACATCTTATACAAATCCACTATAGAAACCACATGAGCAATGTTCCTAAAATGTCATACCCTTTATGGAAACTGCTCTTTTTTCCTGCTCTTGAACTTTGGGAAGGTCATTGTTGTTGTACTGACTTGATTATGTTAATCAAAACAAACCTATAAGCCACTGAGGGGCTGCTAGCCTACCATACTTTTCTTAATTGACTCGTCCTCTTCCAGGTGGCGTGGCAATGACTCAGTCCACAAACATGCAAACGTGCAATCGTACTAAAATGGGTCCATTAACAATAAAGCCTCAGGTCAGCTACATAGACTAATCCAGTATAACTTGAATGCAAACAAACAGGCTCAACGTTGAGGCCACGCTACACATAACAACGGCGGTCAAAAAACTGTGCACCTCCCAAGGTAGGCTGCTAATCTGCCATTGATTATCTCTTCCTCTACCTTTACCATACACCAGTGAGTATGCCACCTACTGTGACAACAAGACATTACGACTGCAAACACACATTGAACACGCTAAAATGTAATACTAAAATGTTTGTTTGTTTTGTTTGCTTTTAAGAGGAAAATATCATTGTTTTTTTCACACATGCACTCAATTCTACATGTGAAACTTCCAGAAATTTTCGGGGTGAGCTACATGTGCAACAGCTGGATTTTTCACACAGATTTTTTCGAGGCTGCCCCTTAGTACAATTTCTGCATGTTGGGATGATGAGATATTCAGGAATATTCACAGCGAGCAAGCAGTCCGGGGTGAGGATGTTTATGCAACCGCTGCTATCGTCATGCCCGTAGTCAAACTGCCTCATACTCATTCCTTCTTTGCCATCACTCATTGAAAATGAGAATATACCACGTAGCATTATTATAATACATATACTCATTATGATGTTGGAAGCTGTTGCTGTGTCCGCTCAACAGGACAAGTCTCCCGCTGTGAGGCGCATGTGTGAACAGGCAAGTCAGGAAGGTTTTCAAGCAGCCAGTCCTAAAAATGTCTTGAATTTTTCGGTTTGCATGTGTGAAAACAGTTCATGTTTCAACCAGGCATGAAGGCGTAAATTGAAGTTCCCACACTCATCCTGTCTTATTTGATGGCCTGTATGTGGCCCCTCAGGCTCCTCCTGTACTCCTCTGCTAGGAAATGTGTTCACTCAGTTTGTTGTTTGCTCTCTTTCTCTCTCATTTTTATGGCCTCGCTTTTTCCACTGCCTCGTTAATTTGGTCTCAGCTATGAAAGCATCTGGAGATGCAAAAGACGGTCTTTGGCTCCGATGGTCCAGAAAATTTAAATATAATAGCCAATGGAATTTAAGATCTGTTTTTCATTACTGAAATGACTTGATTATTGGATTTTTTTAGAAACATTTTCATTTACAGTCATCCCTTCTTTCTCTCCAGAATGCCTTTTGTTCGCTCTCTACAGGGGATGTAGCTGCAGGTCTTCAGCGGGAGAGCTCATAATCTCAGGGGCAGGAAGTTTTTTTGCCCACATCCTTGTTTCCTCAGTCAGTATTTAATCTTCTGATCCAGACTGCCATATCAGTAGTGTAATCAGTGCTGAAGCACTTCGGGGAAGAAATATGTTACATCCTCTAAGCAGCAGGGAGTTCCAGGCTGATGTGGCTAGTCAGCAGCACTTTCCAAAGCCAGCCTAAATAGAAAACATCTTCATACCCTGAGTAACTTCTGCACATGTGGGTGCAAAAACTGTAAACTTAAAGGCCCTTTCCTTAAGTTGAAAGAGAGCTCTGTATTTGTGAAGCATGCATCATATAACAGATTTACATATATGACAAAATTGACATGAGATTAATCATCCTTGACCTGTTTACAGTTTCTCCTGACACCACACAGGATCAGATTTATGACAGAAAATGGAGAATATTGATTGTCTGATAATTGTGATGAGGGAGATAGGGACCAGGGAGAGAGGGGAGGAAAAAAACCACAACTCATTAACTATTCATGAATATAGAAAGACAAACTAATGGTCAATTACTGAAGTGACACTTGTGTGAAAAAGTGAAGGACAAATCAAGAGTATGGATAAGAGAGAGGAGAGGGCAAAGACGCTCAGATTCTCATCAGTAAACACTGACACCTCTGTGCTTGTATGTGTGTTTGTGTGATGTGCACTGACTCACACACACACACAGAGAGAACAATCCGTCATATAGAGACAGACGTATTGATCAGACACGGATAAACAGGGGACAGACAGGCAGCGACGGGCCATTTGCAGCTCTTGTAGTTGGATAATAATCAATTAATGGTCTTTTATTATGGGGATCATTTAATGGGAGTGGATTGAAATGTCTCTACGTTTAAGTGAAAGAGGAAACTTAAAACGTATTCAGGGTCACTCTTCACAGTCATGAGCATGAACCCTGAATGCAGAGTGATTGAATAGTTTCTTACATTTGCCACACACTTTGCACATCTCTTATAAAATCACTTTAACGTACAGTTTTTTGTTTTTGCTCAACAATTTTGGGGAAACCAGCAGGATTAAGATGGTAAACAATGATGCAAATTGGCAGGGACGGCTGGTATAAATGGACTTGCAGGGCCAAGCCTCCCCTTTCCTATACTATAAATATGAGACAATGATTCTTCATATGACTTACAACAGATTGTTTTAAATACTGGTGGAACCTCAAATAGCAACCAGATCTGATATTACAAGAAAAATGCAGAACTATAGCATCCTCTTCCATCACTTCTGTAATGTACATTAGTGACAGGTGTCATGACACGCCCTCTGAATTTGCTGATCATTTAGGCTAAAATCAGTCAGCTCACGGACTGCTAACTTTTCACCAATGACCCAACTGTCACGCCACAGACTGAAGAAAAGCTCTGAAACTAACTTTGCATCTCTTAACTTGTGAGACAATCTATTTGACATCTTTCAATTTCTGCCGTCTTAATGTTAATTCTGTTAGCTGCTCATATCGCAATTTCCATTATGTGTTAGCACCAAGCTAATGAATTAAGATGTACATTCACCAACCGTCACTGCTAATGAGCCATTACTTTTAAAATGAAATGTTTTGCCTTTTAAAGACCATGGCCCTCAGTTTAAGACCACAGAGAATGTTTCTAGAATAACTTCAAATCATTTTCCGTTTGATGTCCATCAGCGATCTTTGGTTTTGGATGACTTTGTGTCATTGACATTTTCAATCTGAATCAAATAAAGCACACTCAGGCTCATTACTTGCTGGCTACATCCAGAAAGCCACATGAAAGCTCTTTGTTTCCAGTAACACAGCGACATGAACTACAGACAATTACTTGTTTCATACATGGCTCATTGTCTGATTCTCATGCAAAACAATTTGTTTCTGAAACCCCAATCCACCACAGTTCTGCCTCATGCAGTCCGTCAGTGTCTGATGTAAACGAACAAATGCCGGATCTGTTGAATACCATGTTACCCACAATGCCTGTGTGCCAGACAGAGCTGAAATGAAAGCAGTGTGTGACTGCAGGCTTTCAAAGAGTTTATAGGACAACAGGTGCACACAGTCAGTACAGTATTAAAGAAAACAACTGGCAAACAAAACAAGTTAAGACCAAAAATAAGACGTTTTTTACGTAGATCAGCAATTAGAGCTTTATATTTTTGATTAATATACAGTTAAGTGATATGATAAAGTAATCTCTAAAATATAGTAGCATACTTCAGCATCCCTCCACATTGCAGCCACATGTTGGACACAGCAGCTGAGCTCAGCAGTTTGTCGGCCTGGTTACACTTCCTGCAGATTTTGGTTTGTTTTGGTCTGTTTTGGGTTGTTGTAGTAATCCGCAGGGGAGGTGAGGGTGGCGAGGGGGGGTACACTTTGCTCCTGCAGGAAGAAGGAGGAGGAGGAGGGGAAATAGCTGTTAAGTGGTTCTTGAGGCTTTGTGGTTTTGACTCATCAGGCGAGCGGGGAGTGTATGGTCCTGGTGCACAGACCTTACAGTGAGACTCAGGTCTGGAGCCCTCGTACATAAACACACTTTGGTGTTAGAGGCTTTAATCACAGATTCTGGGGTTGCTTTAAGGTTTTGTGTTTATAATGTGTTTACATTATCTCTCCTTCTTTACTGAAGTCCGTGAAGTGGGACTATGGACACTTTCATGCTTTATAAGACAAAGTTTCATTGGTTGAAGCGAAACCTAATGGTGCAGTTTTACAAAATATGACGGAAAAAAAGGACACAAAGTCTTGTTAAGGTGCATTAATCATTCTTCATGTGTAAATATTTGGTCCAAGACGTTGTACAATTTAAAAAGGGGTTGCTTAAAGTGATGAAACTGTCACCTTCACCTCTGTGAATAATCTTTTTGGTTGTTTGAGCCACAAAATTAATGTTTCTGTACACTCTCCTGCTTCTCATTCACATCATTTCTAGAAGAAGCAAGCAGTTCTTTTTTTTTTTTATAATTCTGATGAAACAACGTTATTGCTGAGTAGCAGAAAGACAAAGTAGACAACACAGCTGGGGGACAAAAGCATCAGATCAGCTAAAGATTCAGATGTTATTCCAAAGAGTTGGTCGGGATCAAAATGTGGCTTCTGAAACTTTTCCAAAAGTTTTGACTTAATGGAGCACACATTTTACTCATACAGTGACCACTTCAGAAGATGCAAAAATCGCAGCCCACTCAAACACCAAAGAGCACCTAAATGTGGTTACTTTAGAGACCAATCAGAGTGTCTACTCCTTTTGTCTTTTCAGTCTTTACTTAGCTCTGTGTCTGTTTGATTCCTACAGGTAACATCTAAACCTTGAGTATGGTCATGGTTATAAGTCAGCAGTGTTCTTACAGCTTTTGAAATCTTTATTCCTTTTTCTTCTTGTCGTTTAGGACTCTGATGCCTCGGACGCTCGACGGCCAGATAACCATGGAGAAGACGCCCAGCTACTTTGTCACAAAAGAGGCTCCGGGTCGTCTCTGCACCTTGAACTGCCAAACCAAGCTCATTGTGGTGGTCAGAGATCCTGTGACGCGGGCTGTCTCTGACTACACTCAGACTCTGTCCAAAAACCCGGGTCTTCCCTCCTTCCAGAGCCTGGCTTTAAAAAACTCCTCCAGCGGTCTGATCGACACCACGTGGAGCGCCGTACGCATCGGCCTCTACGCCAAACACCTGGAGAACTGGCTCCAGCACTTCCCCTTGTCTCATTTTCTGTTTGTGAGCGGCGAGCGGCTGGTGTCCGATCCGGCCGGGGAGATGGGTCGGGTTCAGGATTTCCTGGGCCTGAAAAGGGTCGTATCGGACAAACACTTTTATTTCAACCAGACCAAAGGCTTCCCCTGCTTGAAGAAGCCCGAGGGGAGCAGCAGACCTCGCTGCCTTGGAAAGTCAAAGGGCAGACCCCATCCAGATATCTCCTCCGAGGTCCTGCAGAGACTCAGAGACTTCTACAGGCCCTTTAACCAACGCTTTTACCAGATGAGTGGACAAGACTTCGGGTGGGAATAACAGAGAAGATTCCTGTCATGGCCTCAGAACAAAAATAAAATCCTCTGGAGAAAATGACTGTGATCCTCTGCAGGGTTAACTTTCTCAGGGATGGGAGATGATTCTGCCTCAGTAGACTCAACCTGACATGCAGCATCTCAACTCTCATTTTTTTGTTTTGGAGAAGAAGCCAACATGGACAAGATGCTGCCAAAGTTGGCTTAGTCAATACACCATTAATTAATTGTCTGACCTGTCACTAATGTAAGTGTCAAACTGAATTTTGAAGCAACAAAGATCCAAAGGGAAAACAAAAAAAGGATTAGCCTCTGAATATAATTTGAACGTTTCTTTCTGTGTTTCTAGAATAAGCTGATATTTAAAGTCTCTGTTGATATGAAATACAACAGATGTGTTCTTCTTTTATGAAAGAAATGTATTTATTACATGACATTATAAACTAAAATATAAAATGGAAAACATTTTTCATCGACAGGACATTAAAAGAAATGTCGTTCTCCATGATAAACCACTATCTCTCTTGAATCAGCAGTGTTACGTGGACTGCGTTTATATTTACATTTCATGAATATTTAATGTTTCTAAATGCCGCATGTCTTTGTGTTGATGTGGATATTTTTTTTAATACGTTGCCGTTGCTATGCCAAAGATACCTCAGATGTAAATATAAAACGATAAGAAACCAAACATACACACATTCCATTTGTAGATATCTTTCTTCAAAGCTACATCACTATTTTCCGTTTGCCTTGGAGACGAGCTAACTGTGTTCACTTTAAACTCCCTGTATAGATTAAACAAAGCACAGCGGTGTGTATTAAACCTGAATTCTCTGACTTTATTTTTTTGTGATGTGAAGTAAAGTTTTATCTGAAATGAAAGATTGGGTTCCAATAATTCATCCTCTTCTTTTCATCTGTCCAAAACCAGCACCATGTTTCAGTCAAGACTCCTGGATTTACTTTGCAGAAGTCACCAATCTGGAAAAATTGGCAACTTATGGTTTTGAACAATAAGGCCCTGCGTCTGCAAACCTTGTTTTTTTTACACAGACAGCACTTCAGTGCAAAACGCCCTCAGCACCAACTTTTTTTGGTTGATTCGCTCTCAGTTCAAAATAGTTGAAAAAAATACTTTTGGAACACTGCGCAAATGTCCATGTCACTTCTTCCTCACTGACCAAGGGGGTGCAGATGGTCATGCCCCATGTACAGAGGCTATAGTCCTATAGCGGACAGCCCGGGTTCAAGTCCAACCTGTGGCTTCTTTCCTGCATGTCCTTCCCCTCTCTCCCTGGTTTTTGTCCACATGTCCTCTGGAATAAAGACAAAAAGTCCAAAAATCAGGAAGGGGCGGGACTTCTGATATCAGCTTATCACCAATTTTTCATTTATTGGTTTTGAAAGTATGACGTGTTTCACTCTATGACAACCATGTTGTTTCTGCCACAGACTTGTCTAGTGTTTGCTCACTCCTTTATTTATGCTCTTGAACTTTAGCTCCCACCGTAGCTCTTCATCACTGGATAAAAGTCTCCCTCAGTCTCTCCCATCTCTTCCTCGGTCTCTCTGACACAACTTTTCCCTCTCGCCACTTCCACACAGAGCGACCACATGTAGAGTCTGAGGTCTTTAATTATGAGAGAGATGTCAGCTCACTCAGAAGGCCCCCCCCCCTCCTCTCTGGGCTCAGAATTAGCAGCAGAGCTCTGTTCTTTCATGCTCACTGTCCTTCATGAAGGAAAAAGAAAAAACATCTGCTCTAGAGGAACCAAAAGAGGAGCCCACCTAAGATCTGAGAAAGACACTGGGCTGCAGATGTTTGGTTTTGTTGACCAATTTATGACTTCATCCTCCTTCATCAGATAGATTTAAACCCAACTTTGTTTGTAGAAGTATCTGTATGTGATTGAAAAACTGAGTGGCTTCTAATGTTAACATGTTAGTTTTGTTCATTTAAGGAAATTTGCATGCAAACCAAGCGGCAACCTCCAGTGCTGTAATATGAAGCGCAAAATCGTGCAGTTCATCGAGTGTCCACTAGAGGCTGGCTCCAAGAGCCCTGGAAGTCACATACACAACACATTCAAAAAAAGCTAGTTTTTACAGCAGAGATGAGCTTCCTACCGTAACAGATGGGTGACATCACAAAGGCTTTGTCCATTAATATTTACGGTCTATGATGCAAACACACCCATCACACCCTCTCGCCCTACATCTTTTTTTTTCTCTGTCAGTATTTCTCTCACATTCTTCCTCTGTTTCTTACATGTCTGGCACACGTTTTTAGTGGGCCTCATTCAAATTTAAGCGTGCTTGGCTCCCTCCATCATTACCAGCTTTTATGACTCTGTATTAGCAGTCAAAGTCATTGTCGCCTTTTTGCTGTACCAGCCCAGCAGCAGGCTTTAAAGAAAACTGATTTTACCATTCTGCCATCTGGAGAAGTCGTTTGGTTTCGGTGTTGGCAGTTCTGCCCAGTCGTTAGGTTCCATTAAGTCAGCAGGACGTTCAACATAATGTACAGTTGTCACCAAAGACATGTAATGATGTGAGAAATTCGGTTGAGGTGAGCAAGGAAGATGGAGGAATGATTGAGAATACAGTCACTTAAAAGGACACATGAAGCAAATCTTGGTGTACATAAAAATGATCTACTGCAGCAACATTTAAGAAATGTCATCAAATCTAAGCCAAGAAGACTTACAACTTTGCCTCTCGTCTGGAGATGTTGGAGAGACTGACTCCATGTGTAAATTTATAAGAAGGGAAATAAATGTACAAATTTAGAACAACTTTGAAACCTGTGCTAAATGTCAGAACTTGTGGAAAAAATATTTTGTTGCAAACATTTTGGGACAAAAAGCTTCATGTCTCATGTTTTGATTCAGGAGCACAGAAACGACTTATTGGAGTGTTTTGCTTTTCACCTAAAGCAATTTTAGGACCATTAGCAAAAGTCAAAAACAAATGCAACTATATAAACGTGCTGAAAATGAAAAATATCCTCTGTAAGACGTTAAAACAACTTCATTAAATTGTCAGTAAGGCTGCAAATTGCATAAACAATGCAACATTAAAAACACACAGACCCAGAAAACAGCTGCAAATGAAAGACGCTGCAAATCCAGCTGCCACAACAGAAGGGCTCCAGGCCTTCAAGTGCTCAATGGCAAAGCTTATTATTCAGGCTTTGACATCTCATAGACTGTGGAGGCTCTTCAGTGTTGTGTCTTTTTCTGTCTGTCATCAAACTAGGAAGTTAAACGTAAAGACAACTTATCTTTCCTTACATTTGTTGTAAATAGAGAATCTTAGGAATAATAATGCTCCAAAAAACTAGAAGCAACAACAATAAATAACAGGTCCATCAAACTTCAAACCTCCTCTTTGTGGGGACAGTAATTTGTTTAGCTTCGTCTAGCATGCGACTTCCAAGGATTTCAGCCCACAACTTAGAGCCTGCCATCTTTTCCGACCATCGTGGATTTGTTTGCATGAGTGGAAATCGCTGAGTGTGGATTGAGTTACCGGCCACTGTGGCTCTTTGAGATTAGGCGTGATGAGGGGTGTATATTTTTTTGCGGTGGGTCTTATTTTGAGAATAATGGGCACATGGCAGACTAATCAGAAACACTCCTACTCCAGAGGGAGGGATGAACCTCTCTGACGGCTGCTGCGCTGAACGAAACGGGGGGGGGGGGGGGGGGTGACTTCTACACAGCAGATGAAACAGGATTAGAGTGTAAGAGTGGTTTCCCAACGAGCAGCCACAAATAAAGACGGTTCATTCGGACTCCACACATTTTTCCAACTGTTCCTCAGTCTCCTTCAATTCAGTGAAGAAATGCTCCGGGATTTTCTTTCTTCTTTGTGGTTTAGGCCTCACAGCATCTTGTTAAACTGTGACTCCAGCTTTAATTGATGAGAGAGTCATTTGGGTTTCGGGGGGATTTTAAACGGTCATGTTAGCTCAACATAAATTGGGGGACTTTTTTTTTTTTTAGGGATATGGGAGTGAGAACTTTAACAATAGGATTTTATAACGTTGTTTTTCTGGACACGTTTCAGTGCTTCTATTCATTCATTGTAGCCGACTAAATACCAGCTCCAGTCGGCTTATTGTGCCTCGATTGGAAAACTCCACGTTTATAGAGAAGCTGGCACTTTGTTGATGAGGTATGAAATGAGGCACTGTCGCCAAATGGATGGAAATAAAACCACATACTCAAAACTTAATTCTGGAAACATCCGTCACTTTTGATTTGCACACATGGGTGTAGTAGTAAAAGGGGGGGGCAACTGACTACCACGACCCCCAGTGGTGGCCCTGGCCAAAATAGTTATATGTTTCTAATCTGTTTCTCTCTGAGTTGTAGCTGTCATAAGAAAGGTCAAATTGGTTGAATAATTGACCATGATTTATTCTTAAAATTCAAAAACCTTTGTAAAACCTTTAAAAAGAATTCAAACCCAAAGAAGATGCACATATTACAAATTTTAGTTCAATTTTGCAATTGAGTTTTCAGGGTGTAACACAAAGTTTTAATTATTTAGGTTTGCCCTAGATCAGAATTTTAAATTTCAAAACTTTAAATCCAACTATTGATAACTGATTCGATAACTTGGCAACATTTTTTATTTTACATACTTTTAAATTCTGGTTTACACTCTCACTCAATATTTAGATATATGCTTCTCACACACATAGGCCCCAAATACACACACATGCACAAACAGAACCTGAGGACATGCATTAGTGGAGAGATGTCAGAGTGGGGCTGCTACACACTGCTATACAGGGAGCACACCAGAGCTGTTGGGGTTTCAGTGCCGTGCTGAAGGGCACCTCGGCAGTACTCGAGAAGTGTCCTGGCACCTCTCCAGCTACCAGACCAAAGTTAATTTGTGTAATGGAGGTGGGGTTATAGCGGTATCACAGCTTCGGCTGAGGCTGTGGTCGAGGGGCCTAATGTGATATATACTTTCATCAGGTCCACAGGTCCTGGAAATGCCCCCTGTTTACACACATCTGTATGGGCAACCCATGCTCAAACCAAATGCTGTTGTTAAACCTGAAGTGTAACATGTTCCATGTTGCATTTCACACTTTGCCTAACATCTGCATCTTCAAACTCAATGTTAACACACTGCGTACAGTCAATCATTCTGAATGAAAGAGGCTCACACCTGGCCTGCATGCATGATTTATTTTTATTTGCCAGAGACTCATTATTCTTACAGAATCAATTACAGCCCTCAAGTTTGAGCCATTAAAATCACAGAGAGTTCTTGATTTGCTCCATGGTGTTCTTAATCCTCAACCACCCATTAAATAAGTGATTATTGGAAATGGGATGGAAACAAGTTGAACTTTACGTCAAAATATTTGAAAGTACAAACACCTAGAAAACAGACACCCAGTAACCCAAAAACATGAAATATGCACTTCCAGGCCGTGTGCGTGTATGTGTTGTAGATGCAATATGTCTTACGCATCCTGTCTGACTCAGTCCCTCCTATGGCTGTGTGTGTTAGTGGTTTCTATCTAAGAAAGGCCACACCGCAGCACTGTCTGCAGCACGCAGGCTTCATAAATGGCCTTTTTCTGAACACACACACACACTTTGCCAAATTGAAAATCATTTTCACATGTGGGACCTTACAATAAACTGTACATCAAGGGATGGAGCTTTAATCCGCCAAATATGTGTCTATTGACATTTGAGTCATGTTAGGACTGCATATTGGAGCCGTTGTGCACTTTCAATTTAAACAAGACTTATTTTTATAAAAGTGATTTAAACTGAAATAACAAGACATTATATGTTGACTTTCTCCACTGGACTTCACTGTTTTTTTTAAAATGAATTCCCAGCTGAGTTTTCCTTCAGGATACAAACAAACATGCGTACATGTTGGAGCTCGTGTTCAGGATATTTTCCGTGTGACTTTGACCTGCTAACCTTCAGAGAGATAGATTGCTCTGCCCTTAACTTACCGATGAACTGATGGCTGCCAACAGATGTTCTGTAATAATATGTCACCAGTGTTAGTGTTCAACAGCTCCGTAAATAAGCTCCTCGTGTACGTAAAGGCCCAAATGCTGTAAAGTTGTAACCCTGCTTTCACACAACAAATATAAAAGTATCAACTGCTTTGCAATGTGCTAACCGTTAGAGGAGCAATTCCCAAGTTTAAGAATGACGTGCAAAAAATAAACTCCTAACTCCCCTGCAGTTCCTTCAAGGACCACCAGGGGGAATCACTGCTTTTCACGCTTACAATCGACTCCGATAAAATGATTTTCAAAAAATATATATTTTTGCAATTTTTGCAATATTTTGAGTTTTAGAAATCAACTTTGTTTGCAAGAAAATTCTCTCAGATCTCTGTTGTTTGACCGATTCGCTACCTGGCTCAATTTCACAGGTGACGTCAATGATGGTGTGTATCAGAAGACCGTGGTATCCCCGTAATCCCCCCGCTCTGGAAAGCTTCAACTTTACCTTCTCAGACTCCTGCTCATGACACCTTTGGGCTTCTTGTTCTGAACGCTAAACCAGAGCTGAGCGTGATTCTTTGAAGCCATTGTTCCAGACCTGTGAGGGTGTAATACCTTCAGTCACACAGGGACAATGAACATGATATGATTCAGATCTCATAAAAGGACAACACCTGTGAGCACATGCCATACTGTCTGCACCGCTCCGAAACTGTTGGTGGAGAAAAAAAAAACATGCAGTGACTACAATCCCACAAATCCTAAATCTAATTGAATCTGTCATAACTGCTGTAATGATGGACACATATAACCCCAGAGTCCCCTCAGGGGGCCCGGGTGTTGGGTCCTGTGTGTCTGGGAGATAGCGTGCCCTACAGGTGTAGGAAGATGATGTGCACAGACTCAGGTTTCAGCAGAGTGGCCTGGGACAGGTTGATGGAGGCTCTGATTGATCCTGAAAACAGAGAAGCCTGTGGGAGAAATGTAATTGAACCTGGAACAGATGTTAAACAGAGCCGGAAGAATGTGGTTATGATGAAGGTAGACAGTCCTGAAAGCCAAATTACATTGGATGAACAGAAATACCACAGTGCTATTAAACAGTATCAGGAAGGGAAGTCTTTTTGGGTGCGTTAAACTGAAAGGGCGTGAGGGTTCACTGTGTGCAGTTACAAATATGTCGAGCTGAAGAAAACACATCTCTGCTGTCCAACAAGCAGAAAAAAAGGGGCTCCGAATTCATGAATAACCACAAGTACCCCGTGCCAAACCCTCCACCCGGTCCTAATAATCTGAATATTTTCTCAGCTCATCGAGTATTAATTCAATTTCCCATTTAGGTTTCTAAAGGATTCAGACTGTACGTTACAATATCAATCAAACAATCTTTATTTGTACAGTATAGGGCCAATTCATAACAAGTGTAATCTACAGACAACAAAAAGCAGGTAAAATACCTTACACTCATTGTTTATTATTTAGTTATACAGTAGAAAATAATGTAAGTCCTCTCTTATCATACACACACAGCCATTACAGCTGGTAGTTTTTTGGCCTGTGTCCCCACTTTGACCTCACAAACCTCAGTTGACCCCAGACAACAAAAAACACATACATTGCCTTTTAATTGGATAGGACAGCTGAAAAGAGACAGGAAATGTTGGGAGGGGGAGTTGGGGATGACATGCAGCAAAAGCGCAGAGGTCAGATTCAAACCCGCTGACCGCTGCAACGAGGACTACAGCCTCTGTACATGGGATGCTTGACATAACCGTTAGGCTATCAGCACTCCCACATAGAGCTTTTTTCTAAATGTATTGTGGTTGTTTTTTCCGTATGTGTTGTAGGTACACATTTATTTTAGACCACTTTAAGGCTTTTTATTCACATAATTGTGGACAGAAGCAGAACAGCCAGGATGAATGTGTATTAACAAGGTTGGGAATAAATGACGCCTGATGCATCGATGAGATACAGACAGAGTTTGGTAGTTTTTAGCATGGAAAACTAGATTGGTCAACACCTTATAGCTAAACACAGACATAATGTATTTTTTATTGATCATTAATTAGAAATTTCAGGGGTCAACATTGAATTCCTTGCGACCCCATATGGGGTCTGGACCCCAGGTTGGGAAGCCTTGTATTATAGACTGTTATATAACTTAATTTTGTATTCTACTTTTTAAAGATAATGAAAGACATCCCGTTGACAGATGTTATTGTATTTAAACTCTAAAAACACATGAATACTGTGTTCACATGTCATTAATACAATCAGTAAGAAATTATAATTAGTCCCACCTTGACTGAGAATAAATTAAAAAGCTCCTCAAGCCTTTAATGGACATTTAATAATCTGTAAGTCTCAAAGGATCCTCGGTGGCCACATGAATAAACGTAATATAGATTTGATTTATTTGAGTAACAGTTCTGAATCCTTTTAATTTTAAACAAAGACAGTAGCATTGGGTGATGGATACTTTTCATATCCATGTTAGGATCACACAGTACAACAGATGAAGTACATTCAGGATGCTGAGATCAATCAATGAAACCAAATGTGCTTTTTAATATTTTCAAGTAGAGAAGATGTAAGTGTATGAGCAGCATGGTCTCTGTGGCACAGCACTGCCACCTGCTGGTTCACATAGATACTGAAAAATATATTTGATCGAACTAAACCCGACTTCCCGATAAAACTCTGAGTCTGTGTGTTTATTTTCCCATCATTACTGTCTTGGGTGTTTACTATTTGTCTTGTCTGTCAACTCTGAAGCTCATGGTGATAACGTCCTCGATCCCAGCTTGCAGCTCATCGTGCTCCTGCACGGCAGAAACTCCTTTAGGGGTCCCGGTCAGGATGAGGTCCCCCTCCTCCAGACTGATGAAGTCGCTGATGTAGCTGATGAGATAAGGGATGGAGAAGATCATCTGGGAGGTGCAGCCGCTCTGCTTCATCTGGTCGTTCACCTTCAGCCACAGCTTTACGCTCCCCGGATCAGGGATGCGCTCTTTGGGGATGAACTCACTGATCGGGCAGGAGGTGTTGAACGCTTTGGCGAGGGTCCAGGGCAGACCTTTGGACTTGCACTCCTCCTGGATGTCCCGGGCTGTCATGTCCAAGCACAGCGCGTACCCTGCAACATGCTCCATGGCTGCGGACTGAGGGATGGCCGTGCCCCCTTTCCCAATGACGACCCCGAGCTCCACTTCATGGTGCAGGTTGCTGGTGTACAGAGGCACCAGGATAGGGGATCCCTCTCTGACATAGGCTGAAGGTGGCTTCAGGAACAGGATCGGCTCCGTAGGAACGGCGTTTTTCAGCTCCTTGGCGTGGTCGGCGTAGTTTCTCCCAACACAAATGATCTTCCTCCCCCATTCCCAAAATCGAGATATATTTCGCGATGTCATTTAGGAGAAAGGAAAGATAATCAGCCGCTTTGAGGCAGTCTGCAGCAGCTGAAGTAAACTTTGACCGACACTGAATGAAGCTTAATGTGTAACCTACGGCAAGCAGGAAAGGACATACGGAAAACTCAAAACTATTTTAGAAAGTCTTTTAAAACGACGCATTTAAGGAGTTTTTTGGGGTTGTTAAATTAAAACGAACCACATTATATATACTCAATTTTGTCTCTATATGTCTAAAAATTTTGGAAAATTAATTGATGTACTCACATTTACACCTGCTCATCCTCGATCGACTCCCTCATGCTCGATTGGTCGTGTCTCGGATGTCAAGGTTGAAGAGGGGGCGGAGGCGGAAGTGAAACAGAACCAAACTTTTCTGGTTTATACCACGAATGTGATGATAAGGTTGAACCTGCTGTTGTTATGTTATTCAAGTCACTAGTGGGGAGTGCCTGCACTCTCCTTGGAGCTGCTACAGCCTTCAAAGTAGGTACGTACACACGGTTAATATGAGCATTAAAAACATCCAGTCGACGTGTTAGCACGTGTAGCTACACGAACATTAAGACGCTTTTATCTCGTGTTGTGGTGTCTTAAAAGAGGAGAGCTGTCACATAAACAGAGCTGGCTAGTGCTAAAACACGTCTGTAATGTCTTACACAATCGCTTCCGTGATGTCGGTCTAGATAGATCGACAGTGTGGCAGCTAAGTGATGAAATATAAGACATGTTTAAAGTTAGCATTGAAGCTAACCTTGTTTACTTTGTGTCGTATCGGTATGCAGGTGTTTCGTTTCCATTGGTGACCATGTTAACTGGAGACTTTCACCCAACCTGTGGTGATCGTAGTTGCGACACATGTTGAGGACGGAAGTGTCCTAACCAGGGTGATATTAGGACCTTGAGGGGGTTTCAGTTCCTAAATATATTTAGACATGTAGAGTTTCTGTTCAGTCCTCCTGCTAAACATCTCACTACATAAGAAGAAATATTGTCTTACATGTGAGGGTTTTTTTAATTATATAAACAACAATAGTAGTAACATGAAGTTCCGAGAGTTTTACACCACAAAATAGTTTGTAACAAAATGAAAGGTTGAGTAATATTAATATTAAATTATTATTTGTACGTTATTTGTGTAAGCAGTTCAGCATATTAGATATTTTAATGTGAATACCATTATATCAAAGTTTTGAATGCAGTGCTTTTACATCTCAACACTGTGTATAATAACTGCTTTATTAGGAAAATTATCTGCTACAACTCAATAATCATAACCAAAAATAACCTTTATTTTGCATCATTCCCCTCTGGGTTAAAGTGTGACTTTATATATTATTTCTTATAACTTCACATTATTCAAAATAATATCTCAAGTAAATATAAAAAAAAAAAAATCAAGATATTTCTGTCAAATTTAAAAAATCAGGTGATGCTCATGCCCCTGGACACTTTCCATCTTCAGCTGTTGTTACTATGACAACCACAAAGTCACCAATTAACATGGTCCCTCTTTAATCCGAAACACCGGCACAACACTCGTCCTGTCAACAGTCAGCTACTAGTGATATATTATGATTTTCCAGATTATGTATTAATCAGGATACAGTTTATTACATCACAATACTTTATAAAGATTATATTTCTAATGTTATATTATTATCACACCACCCTCACTCTTCTCATACCTGTATGTGTAATTGCTCTTTCATATCGTTTAGTTGAACTTGTATTCCTTTCTTTCCTCTTAAGCATCTTTTATTACATCTGTTTTCCCCTCTGATCATTAACTAATGTTTGTCTTTTCTTATCTTACTGTGAACTGCCTTCAGTTTCCTGGTTGCTTTAAATGAACATTTAAGGGAAATGGTAGCTGCCATACAACCAGAGTTTTATACAAGAACAAAGTGATTTTTTTCACAGATAATCCGAGGGTGTCCTCATATCACTCTTGACGGTTTCTCTCTATTAAACATTGACTTACGTTATCTCATGAAGCACCAGTCGAAGTCAAGGCCCAAGCAGCTGCTCTCCTTCACAGCGCAGTGAGGAAGTCTTCGCTGGTGGAACAAGCAAACATGAAGGTTGAACTTCTCCCGGCGCTGTCTGATAACTACATGTACCTCCTGATCGATGTGGACTCCAAGGAAGCAGCTATTGTGGACCCTGTGGAACCCAAAAAGGTCTGAACGACATTACATACATTATTTTAGCATTCAAGTACTCTTCCTTAACCGCAGCGTGCCTAGATAACACATGCAAAGGTGTTACAGGTATTTATATTGTCCATTTGGTGAACTGTTAAATATTAAATGATCAATGTTATATAAGGTAGTTATTAAACCAGACTTTGACCAGGAGCTCCAATTAAATACGGCATGCTGTTTTTGCATCAAAAATAATCTATTAGTGCAGTATATTTAACATCACAGCGCTCTAAAAGGAGGCTTCATAAATATAAATGCTCACTGTTTTTGTCCTATGGCATTTCTATACTTGAATTTGAGATTTTGAATGTAGGATTGTTAATCCACATGCTGTATAGCGGCATTGGCTCAGTCTGTAGGGACTCAGGTTGGGAACTGGAGGGTAGCAGGTTTAAGTCCAGGTGAGGACCAAGTCTGGAAATTGGTCTGGTAGCTGGAGAGGTGCCTGTTTGTGAATGTGTGTGTATTTGTAGACTATGTGTGTGTGGCATGTCTCTTTATACACAGAGTGTGAAAGCATTTTCCCGTCGTGGGATTAATAAAGGTATCTTCATCTTCTTAAATAAAAATCCTTCTTTGAATATTTTATACAATTTAGCACAAGATCTCAGTAATTATTGTTAGTTAGTCTGTAAAATTTTAAAATAAAGTGTTACACTAATGTGTTATGCCTTTACTTAAAAAATCAGCTATTTAATTTATGAACTAAACAGAAAAAAGCATCAAATCCTTCAAAGTAAGAGAAGCTGGAATCAACAGATACTCTAACTTCTGCTTCACACATGATTTGAACAATCGTGAAAATAGCTGATGATTCATTGACTGATCGTTTAAGCACTGACTAAGAGTGACTCTTCTTTTCTCTCAAACAGGTCGTGGATGCTGTCAGACAGCATGGCGTCAGACTTACCACAGTCTTGACCACTCATCACCACTGGTGAGCTACAGAGCTACACGCTAACTACTACCATGTGCATCACGTACTTGGTACAGGAGAGACTTCTCAAAACCCTAAAGCTAACCAGATGAAAATCAAAATGCTAAATAAAAATTACACCGGCATGAAACACGTCTTCTGAGTCTGCTGAGTAACAATACACTCATCCTTTTCTCCCTGTAGGGATCATGCTGGTGGGAATGAGAAGATGTTGAAGCTCATGCCTGGACTGCGAGTCTATGGAGGAGATGACCGAGTCCCTTGTCTTACAAAGAAAGTTACTCATTCCCACAATTTTAAAGTAAGACCATCAATTCTTTCTTCCATGTGAATTTAAGCCCTGAATGACTGACATCCATCCATCACGGGTGTTATTGTCTCCCAGGTTGGATCACTCAATGTCAAATGCCTGTTCACACCATGTCACACAACCGGTCACATCTGCTATTATGTGACCAAAGAAAACAGCACCGAGCCACCGGCTGTTTTCACAGGTACGTCTACCAGATAAGGCAGAACAGCATGCATATATACTGGAAGCAATGACGTCTCCTAAGTCTGTCCATCTTGACCCAGACGTATTGATTCAGCGTCTGAAGTCAGCACTCCATTATGTCTGATATTAACGTCCTGCGGACACTTTCTCATTCACGCAGGGGACACTCTGTTTGTGGCTGGTTGTGGTAAATTCTTCGAGGGAACAGCTGAGCAGATGTACAGAGCCTTGATAGAAACTCTGGGACGTCTCCCTCCTGAAACGGTAAGTCTTCTGATGATCTCCATCGCGATGTCACTGAAAGTCCAAATGTGACCCTGAAGACTTAAATCACTCTGCGACATATTTATAGAAGAATCAGGACTGAAACTAATTTGGATAATGTTGCATCAAATGTCATTTTGTGTGCGATATTTTAGGTATTTTTATATGAAACCGACCCGTTCAACACTTGCATGGAACCTAAAGTTTACCACAAAAAGGTGAAACTATTAAGACTGAGCCTTTCACCACCTCTCTGTATTTTTGCAGTAAGCTGTATTTTTGTATTGCATGTCTGTGGCAACATTACCGTGTGGTAATGGTGTTGTGTGTCAACCAGCAATGAAAAGGTAACCAGAGCTGAAAGCTAAAGGATGGAGCAACCATTGCAGAGTAGGCTCCACCGGTTAAAAGTTACATTAATTATATTTGTTATGGATCTGCTTGTTGCCATGGTAATTCACAGCATATACAGCAACATTTCCTGCAGCAGATTACGCATGCATTCACAAACTCGGAATGGAAGAGAGAAGGAGAAGAAGACGTTGAAATAGAAGTTTAAAGATATTCAGCATCAAGATGAAACATACAGAGAATTATTGGCAAAAGAAAAACCTTCATGAGGTGACTGGCCAGATATGCAAAAACGCTTGCGAACGTGGGACAAGAGGAATCAAAGCTATTTAGACCAACATGGAAATAAAGCACAGACGCTCCACGGTGCAAAAAAAAAAAAAAGTATTAATTATTTTTTTGTTTGGATCCTAAAGTGTTAAATGTGTTATTTAAAAAAGTGCAGCAACCCTGATTATGAGCTCATGCCTCTTAGGTTTTGTAACTTCTTTCACCTCAAAGGGGGAGATAATAGTTTTGGAGAGACTGATTGTTAACCTTGGTATGTTTGTCTTTTAGCGTGTTTACTGTGGTCACGAGTACACGGTCAGCAACCTGAAGTTTGCACGTCATGTGGAACCAGACAATGAAATCATTAAGGAGAAGCTAGCATGGGCAAAGGTATGTGACTCACCTGTCACATTGAAACGATAATGTCCTCATTCAGTCGATCATGTCCTTAAACTTATCAGTAAAAACACTTCTTGTGTGTTTGTATTCCTCCAGGAGAAATGCAGCAACGGAGAGCCCACCATCCCGTCCACTGTGGCAGACGAGTTCACCTTTAACCCCTTCATGAGAGTGAAGTAGGTCGAGCATCATTTAACACCACTTGTTGTTTTAGACCATTGCATCCAGGAACGTTTTGTCAATTCTTCTATTTGTGTGTGTGTGTTTAATTTAGAGAGAAATCTGTGCAAGAACATGTGAAGCAGACAGACGCGACTGAAACCATGAGAAGTCTCCGGAAAGAAAAAGATGGCTTCCGCGTGCCCAAAGACTGATGCTCAGAAGTCCAGGGCGATCACGCTGACTCTTACTACACCACACATATTAACCATCTCCAAATCCACTTGCAAAGGATCCACTACATTCAATCTCAGTTAATCCAATGACACATTCGATCGCCACAATCAGCTCTAACACGGCAATAAACCTCTTCATCAGGCTTTCATATGTTTTATGTTTGTTTGAATGAAGGTGATAGTTTTGTGGAATATTTGGGCTTTTTTTTTTTTTAAATGAAGTAAGTTTGTTTATCTATGAATGGAGGTTTTAGAGTGTATACAGGTTAATGTTGTAATATATTTAAGTCCAAACTACTATTTGAAGGAGTAGAAACATCAACAAGTCAGGGAGACACTCAAAGAATGTTCAAAGAATGTTTGAATATTTGTACAATGTCTGTAAATTGATAAAGTAATTTCTTTAGAGATTTGAATCTTTTTTTTTTCTGACCCTGAACGCTTCCTTACACTGTTTCTGTTCATATTTGCATGGAAACCGTTGTTATTGTTATGAAGTGTGTCAGCATTACATGTTAGATACCCGAAACGCTCTTATGCATGTAAGTACCTCTTCGTAGAGAATATTGCATGTTGTTCTTTTCTTTCAATTTGGACTCCAAGCATCAGAAGTAAAGGTTCTCACTATGCACAATGGTCCCATTGTGTTGTGTTATTATATACAACCCAAATGATTTCATTAGCATTAACAGAGAGGTTTATTTATGCCTTTATTTAGAGATAGGAGAGTTGATAGAGTCAGAAATTGGGAGAGAGAGAGAGAGAGAGAGTGGGGAATGAGTGTGGGAAAGGTGCTAACTGTTGTACTTGAGTAAATACTGGTACCAAGCATGAGAGCATTTTATCTTATTAAATAATTTTACATCCAGAGTCATCAGATCAGTGAGTTTATTATCACAGTTTACAGATTTAAAGAAAAAACCTATTTACGCTTTAACAATAAGCAGCATTCAATGAAATAAAAAAATATGATAAATGTCTTACATCATACATAACGAAAAATCTCAAGTAATAATAGAATAAATAACAGGTGGAAACTGAATGATGAATCCGTCTGGGCTCGATTAAAATGTCTTGGCTGGGACACGTTAGCCCGATGATGTCGTAGAATAAAAGAAATCAGATCGTCACAGCCGCATCATGACAAAACAACCTGATCGAGATCAATAACACTGAGGTAACAACGTTTTTCATGACGTGTGCAGATCGATTCATTTTCCTTTAATGTGTTGAAGCTGCAGAAGTGAGACCCGGATGTAGTTTATATGGGCTTAAACAAGTGTACACTGTTTATGGACTAATTGAATGTTTTCCATGATCAGACTTAAGGAAACAGTGCAGATGTTGATGTTGACGTATTCAGCGCTTCCTGAGTGTCGCACAGTGTGATGCGCATGCGTGAGGGGCTGCCATGAAGGTAAAGGTGATCTCCATCCTGGAGGACAACTACATGTACCTGGTGATCGAGGAGCAGAGTAAACAGGCTGTGGCTGTGGACCCCGCTGTACCACACCGGGTGAGACTCAGGTCCTCACGCATGCTCCAGATGATGCACTAAAAAAATATATTTATTTTCAGATTTATTGTTTTTTTGTTCACAAGTACCAAAATAATCAACTTAGAGACAGACACCCAAAGATGTTCTATTAATTATTACATAGACACATGTTGAAAATGTTTGGCATTATTCCTTATGAAATAGTTTGAATCATGAATTGCTCATAACAATAACTATTCATTAATTTTGCTGGCAGCTGCTAGAAATCGTGAAGAGAGAGGGCTTGTCTCTGACGGCTGTTCTCACCACACATCATCACTGGTAAGACTCTTTTAGTGGGTTGAACAGGAGCCAGAATTATCCAGAACATCTCATAAAAGAGTTAATCTATTTACTCTTTTTTTTTTTTTCAATGATCAGGGACCACGCTCGGGGGAACGAGGCTCTGCTGAAGGAGCTCCCTGGGCTGAAGGTGTACGGGGGAGATGATCGGATCGGGGGTCTGACTGATAAAGTCACACACGACCAGGAACTCAAGGTGCTCACACAGTATCAGGACTGAACTGTAGATACCTGAAGAGAAGTGCTCCGGTTATATTTTCCACATGTTGATTGATTGGACACAGATGTATCGCTGCCATGTTGTTGTGTTTTCTCTTTGTGAAGTTTAACTCCATCAACGTGAGGTGCCTGTTCACTCCCTGCCATACCTCTGGACACATGTGCTACTTTGTGTGGGAGGACGAGTGCACTGACGCCCCGGCTGTGTTCACAGGTGTTTGTCTTTGTGAACATAAAGAGCCATTTACTGGGTGGAAACCTGAGAAGTACATTGTCGCTTACAGATCATACATATTGTAATGTGGCCTCTGTTGTGTCCAGAGATATGAATCCTTGTTGACAAACACATTGCTCCATTGTTGTTCTTGTTGTGCGCAACAGAAGAAACTGACCCCCGTGCGCACTTGATCTCTCTTTTGGTTGTCAGGGGATACGCTGTTTATTGGCGGATGCGGGCGGTTTCTGGAGGGTACGGCTGAACAGATGCACCACAATCTCACCCAGGTTCTCGGCACCCTACCTCAAGACACGGTCAGTGAAATCACGGCTGTCCTCAGCAGCCCTCACAGGGTTAATGACAGCCAACATGACCTCAGAGAAGAGCAGGAGTGAGACTGAGTCACGCTGATGAATAAACACACACACACAAACACAATGAAGGGATTGAGAGCAGCCTGGCTCCCTCTCTTCTGCCTTCATTGTAAAAAAAAAAAAAAAACACATCTCAAACGGGTCATAAATCACAGAGCGTTCAGATCATTTAACTTCCCATCTTTGTGTCTGTTTGAGTTTTTGAATGTCATGTCTGGCTCATTTGCAGAAGGTGTTCTGTGGACACGAGTACACCATAAAGAACCTGAAGTTTGCCATGCTGGTGGAGCCAGAAAATGAGAAGGTTAAAGAGATGCTGAGCTGGGCCAGGGTGAGCTAAACAAAGAACATGCTCTGAAACTTAAGATAGGATTGCATCAAGAGGAAACTACTCCTCTGCCTATTTGGCACTTAAAGAAAAGGGGCTAAATGACAGTTTTTTTTTACAACACGTGAATATATTCTCCTCGAATAATCCTGTTTACATGCAGTAAACACCCCAATCATCCACACACAGCCTGTATGTTGGCTGGTAGATTAGTAAATGATGCACAGAGCTGCCATGACACAGGTAAGAGGAAGTGTTATACAGACAGCTCTAAAAACTCCAGATGAGATGAATATTTGAGATTCTTTGAAAAGAATATAGAAGATACTGTCCTAGTCTTTGAATCCTCATTAGAAATATATTTACTGAGCAGTGTAACTTGATGATCTTTGTGTCTCCAGGCAAGAGACGATGATGACAAACCCACAGTGCCATCCACCCTGATGGAGGAGTTTGAATACAACCCTTTTCTTCGTCTCTCGTGAGTTTGGAATATTTTTTATCCTCAATGTTTGAATCATAAAAGGTTCAGACACATGACAGACATGTGTTTGGACACTTCAGAAACAGCCTTTCATTAAATACAGTTTAAAGGCAGTGATGTTTTCTATTGAAATGATTAGTAAACCAGGATCATGTGGTCAACTTTTCTTTCAAGGTTTTTACAGTGGTTTTTAAAATCAGGACGTTTCCTGTCATCATTTTGTGTTGAACTCTACTTCAGTCTACAGGGGTGACGATGCCAGAACTTTAGACTTCAATGATAGTAAAAAATCTAACAATAACGATACCGGTTTCGATGCCACGGCATGCAACGTACGAGAGATTTCTTTATTTTAATTTCTAAAATTGCAGGCAAACTCCTGCACACCTCATCTGTCACCTCATCTGCTCTGTTTAAAAGAGACATAAACATCACTTTAACACCTAAAGGATCACAGCTGCTCTCTCTCTTTTGCTCGCGGCAGCTTCGGGGAAAAATCTGACTGAAGATCTGTTTGGTTTTATTTGTAAAGCTTTTGTACCTGTCGATGCTATTGGTGATTGAAAAATGGGGATTGTGTCATTTTAAAAAGTATCAGAAAAATTTTGACTGTCCATTTCAGCCACTAAATCCAACTTCCTCACTTATTTCCTGCAGAGAGGAAGGAGTACAGAAGTTCACAGGGAAGTCAGACCCCATCGAGGTGCTCAGGGTCCTGCGGAAGGAGAAAGATAAATTCAAGAAGCCCAAGGAGAGGCCTCCTCCTCACGCCATGCTGGCTTTGGAGTGGGGGCTGCTCAGACCCTGAGATCCAGTTTCATGACTCTGCACATGTGACACACTCATTATCTAGAGTTGGATGACCGGATGCAGCAAGACACAGGACTCTAAAGTGGGGTGCTGCTTTAATGGAATATACCTACATTTAGATTAATTTAAAGGCTGGTCTCTCAGTCTGTTATGCAAACATCTAAAAGATCATGTGAAGATTTGAACGTGTTTTGGGCATTTTTTGCTTTAAATACAGTACCTGGTCTGGGGAGAAGAATTAGCTGAATTTATTTACGTCTTGTTCATATCACAATGTTACGTTTCTTTTTTTGTCTTTATTGATTTTAATCTTCTGTCTGGTAACTTTAGAACGACCAGTACATTGTACTTCAGTTGTTAAGTCATGTTATCTCTCTTATGTTAGTTTGTGTATTTTAGCACAATTTCTCCCTTGATTATTTTCGTTGTTATACGCTACATAATTGCTGTACCATACTGCACATTTAAGGAACTGTGACCCTAATTTAGACTGCACTTTACATGCAATGTTTGAGAGGAGATGGTACACCTGAAGTGTAAAACAAACATGCAGTGTTCATTACTATGAATGTAAACTTTTTCCTCACATTGCGAGCGCTTATATCTGCTAACCAGGATCAAGATTATTCAATAAAACATATCAGTAAATGGTTAATTGACCTGAGCTTGTAAAGCTGACTTCTCAAAGTTCTTTTACACCGCAGGTCACACCTTCCCATTCACACACTGATGGCAGAGGTTGCTATGTAAGGTGACCATTAGAAGTATCTAATCCATTCATACACATTAATACTCCACCGACAAAGGGGTTAAGTGTTTTGCCCAAGGACACATCGGACATGTGGCTACAGGAGCTGGGGATCGAACCCCCGACCCCCCAAAGATCAGTCTGAATTAGTATTCTGTTGGATTTAAAAAAAAAAAAAAGAAGTAACTCAGAAACAAAGGCTATGTTAAATAATGTCTTTATTTCACTCTATATATACATACAGCCATACAGGGAAATAAACAAGGAATGATTATATTTTGCCTGTGATATTTCCACTCACATGTTGAAGTGTGACAGAAGCTAAATCGTATTGGTATTTATGAATGATTGAAAGGACAATCACTGCAATTGTATAGATGACATACATGA